CTGATGTGCCACAATAATATCACCTATGTGATTGAGTTAAAATATTAATATTGTGGCTTTCCAAGTTAACATTGATTGTAGGGGTGTAACGGTTCACAAACATTTCGGTTCGGTACGTACCTCGTTTTTAGGTCACGGTTCGGTTCGGTACGTTTTCGGTACAGCAGAAAAAATTATCACAAAACATTAAAAACATTTTTTTTATTATTATTAAACTGTGAATAATGTATTCAAATAAATACAAAATATAGTCAAATAAACATTAAGGTGCAGCATTTCGATGAACTGAAATAATCTGTATTTGAACTGTACTAGTACCTAAGCAGCCAGCTTGACATTAGGACTTGCTTGTCATTGTATTTTCATGTTGTTTAAAGAAAGATGAACTTGTCCACATTGCTTGCTGAAATGGCAGATCTGCTGGCACTAACAATGTCTCCTGCTGTGGAGAACACCCTCTCTAGGGACAGAGGTAGCACAGCCAGGTAGCGCTTTGCTAACATGGCAACATAAGGATATTTGGCGTTTGTAATAGCTTTGGCTCGGTCTGAACTTTCTGCGAGTGGTGGAGGCTTAAATGCTAGTGGGAGTTGGGTTTGCACTTCAGTCTTTTTTCTTTTGGTACCGGTGATATTCACATTCGGGTGATGCCTTTTCAAATGAGTGTGATGTATTGCCAGCCGCGTAACCAATGTTAGTTGAACAATACCGACAAACAGCTTTGGTTCGGTCCACCTGTCTTTGTCCGTCATCCTTGTACGTAACTGCGAAACCAAAATGTTCCCAAACCGGAGACTTCAATGATGCTGTAGGATTTTCAGCTCAACTTTATCTGCGTTCGCCATTTCGACAGTTCCTCAAATTACTGACTACATTTGAACGCATCCCTGTGACCAGCTCTCATAGTATGCCTCTCATCCAATGAAATTACTTGGTCGCTCTATGATATATACCTGAGATTACTTCCAGAAAGTTGTTCATGTTCTAAATTGTTTAACGCTATATTCGTTCGGTACACACGTGTACCGAACCGAAGGGCCCGTACCGAATAATTTCAGTACGGGTACGTGTACCGTTACACCCCTAATTGATTGATATGATTGCGATTCAAATCAGCATATACTTCTGTCAGGGGATGCCACCCCTCAAAATCTCCTGCCACCCTCTTGCCACCCCATGAATATTTGTCTAGATCCGCCCCTGCAGCTAAGGTCAGAAGAGCTTTATTTAACAGCTGGTCTTATGTTTGTGACCCCTGTTGTTAATTGATAACATTACATTACATTAATTGATAAGCCTGAAACATGCACTTGTCAAGGTTCAGAGGCACATTTTGAAAATATGGCAATAGCCATCTTAAGATAAGATATACTTTATTGATCCCAAGTTGGAACATTTGCGTTACATCAGCATGTGTAACGGTTAAATATGCAGTGGTGTTTATTTGTAAATCATTTAGTATAATCACACAAATTCTGTGTTTTATATTCAACAATTCTGTGTTCTTTATTTATTGATTGTTCAATACCTGACAAGGCCGGAGATTAAATATCTACATACATCTTATAAGAGTATAATACATTATGTATAATATCAGTTAAAAATAAGTGCTTCAACATAGTTAACATTGCTGGAGGTACGCACAAATATTGATAGATGTCTTGTAATGCACTATTGAGGAACCTGCGACCCAAGTTTTTCATTCAATGCATAACTACACCATAGTTGTGTGGGCCTATATGATATGTCAATAAACCTTAGAAAATCTTGAAATCTTGAAAGGGATGTGCAAAATAGTCATTATATACAGTCTTTAATTAACTATTAGTAGAGAATAACGAGTAATGAATATACTTTATAGGGATCCTATTAATATCTAATAATAAAAATAATGAAATTCAATAACATGCTTTAACCACTAGGTGTCCCTTTATATCAGCTGTGCACCGTTATGGTGTAAATACAGCCTATCTACCAATTGGATCAAATATAAAAGTCAGCCGAATTAGTGTTGATACTGCAAGGAGACGTATTGTGTGAAAAGAAATGTAAGATGTTGTTTAATGGCTGATATATTTATGATCCACGTCACGTTTTCAGTTCCTCATGTTTGTCTAGAAGTCTTCTCATCAGGGCTCTATAAATACAGAACTACGGCAGATATGTAATATTTAATGCAGCCGAACCGTGTATTACAATGCCGTTATGTGATGACTTTCAAAGAGAAAATCAAGCACACTCGGAATAAAGTATTATTATTTTTTTTTTAATGTTTTTGGTCTGTTTCCGGTATTTGTTAATGACGATGTGCTGTGAGATGTGAGACTGGAATTGCACAGGGGGAAATAACGTATCTTTAGATGCGGATTTTGTTAAACTAATATGTTTTCGCTGTGGACCAACACTATACATTGACGGGGAAGGGGGTAGCAATAAAGATAACACCATTAAACAGTTACACAACATAACAGAAATAATATCGATAGCAGCGTCCCTAGCAACCACCTTGGTAACAATGAAAACGTTATGGACGCAATTTCCTGAAGTAATCTTCGTAATAACTAGCAAACTAAAGATCATGTACATCCACTGCACACATAATCTGAAATAACAACTCATATTTCTCGCATCAATGACATCAAAACGCATTTTAATGGCCAAACTAACTTTAAAATAGGCATTTTCCACCGAGAATAAAACGAAGTTCGGCCATGTTTTTTTTTCTGCAGGGAGACATTTGAAGATCACGTGACGTCAAACAGAGCACATGGTGTAGTCCAAACGATAGCTGGGGATTCTGGGTAGTGTAGTGTCTTCTGCCATCCTTTACTCCGAAAAAATATTTGTTTTCTCCGAATCGAAGGGGAAAAATACAAAAGCATTGCACACAATTTAAACCAATCAATGTTGTGTAATTAGCAAGGATAATCTGGTGTTTTTTAGTCGATGAGTAGTGCAGATATCACTGTAAAATCAATCGACAGTAAGGGGAATACTTACTTCCGGCTGTACAATTCTCCGTTATCCAATGAGAATGGACGCTCACATTGCCTTTAAGGGCAGCCGACACAAACGAATGCCGTGCTTCCATGAGCGTCCATAGAAGCATATGGACATCCCGGAAAGCTGAAAATGGACGCTAAGGGCCCCTCTCTTGCGTTGAAAATGGACGCTAAGGCCCCCTCCCTTGCGTTGGAAAAAGCCGACACAGGACTTGACATAACGTCAACATAGGCCGACCTGGGAGTGAGGATGTGTTGGCCACTTCCTTCCAGAGCCCCTCCTCCAACACACACGAACGCGCACAGGACCAATGAGGGCACGAGATAAGTTTGTACCCAGATTTTTGTTTGTACCCAGGCTGACAGGCAGGTAGGCCATCCAGTTATTTTAGCCGGGCCGGCTCAGATGATTGGTCGTGCTTTTTACAGCACCATGGCTTCCACAGATGATATTTTTGTATGTATTTATTGTCAAAGCATTTAATTTATTCATTGCTATCGGGATGTTAAGAGCATTCCATGGAATATAACAAGTGATTCTGAAATAAATTACATACCTCACCTTTAATATTGAACTTAACTCATGTATTACTATTGACTGATTTTATTTTGAGTTTATTTAAAGCATCTGAGGGACCAGACCAAATAAAAAAACACTTTCTTTGTTTGAAGGCTTTCAATGGGCGAGTCAGCTTGGACGATGAGGAGGAAGAGGAGTTGTAATATCTCTTGTAATACAGTGATAATATGTAATATAACTTCCCTCCACAGGCCCCAGACCACCAATGGACCTCAGTTAAACATTTTCCCTGTCAGAGCAGAGCTTAAGCTTTGAGTTCATACAGGAAACGGGTCAGTTAGCTAAAGCTAGCTCTGAGTGTATTTTGTCTAACTTTTAAACAAGCTGAAGTTCAGTCAGTGGGTTTTGTTTTGGCAGTTTAATATGTATTGCATACTTTCAGTGACAAAATCTATGGTTTACAATTATTTATGAAGTATATAAAGCATTCAGATTCATAAATGTCACCAAATATTTAGAAGTAAATGTGTCTCTGTAGTGTACTCACCAGTGTTGCCAGGGATTCTGCTGTTGTGAAAAATCTGCTGGATTGTTTCTTTGGAGAGAAACAGAGCGAATGCTGCTCTGCTGTCACTGAGACGGACTTTAACTTTGATAAGATAAGCTCTCCTCTTTGAGCATGTGATCCACCTCTCAGTGGCCCGTAACTAAGAGGGAGTGGATGAAGTATTCCCATCATTTACTAAATCAAAAGGATGAATATGACATTGTGAAAAAACTTTAACACAAGTAAAATTCCTGCATTCCAAACTTCTAGTTCAAGTATTCTCATCAAAATGCACTTTATCATAACTGAAGTGCTCGTTGTGCAGTCAAATGGTGTATCAGTGCGCTACTGATGTAATCTGGAAAGTTTCCAAAGCTGTTGTTCGAGTAGAAGTGTAAGGTTGCAATAAAAAGTCCAACTACAATAAGTATTTGAGAAACACTCAGTTTTATTCATACCACCACTGAAAATACTCCATTACAAGTAAAAGTTCTGCATTTAAAATGTTTAGTTAAATGTCCTTTTTGTGGCAATTAAACTCCCAATAAATTAAGTCGCAGTTCAGCTCTTTGTTTAATGATGAAATAAAACAAACCATAACTAAAGATGGACTATACGGTCAACAAAAATGTTTGGAGGAAAAACTAACCCATTGTCTTTCCACCAACCCCGACATACAAGAGGTGACCTGAATAGGCAAGGCAAGGCTATTTATATAACACTTTTCAACACAAGGCAATTCAAAGTGCTTTACAAAAAATGAAAGATACCATAAACCACACTCTGGAGAATTACTGGAAGTGGTCAAAAAAGAAATGCGTGCTGTGTAAACAATAATGATAACAATAAACACAGGCTAACTAAGCATTTTGGCTCCTACACTCGCTCTTTTCTAAAGGCCTTAGTTGTAAAAAATGTTTTATGGGTGCACCTTTTGCACTACATGTACCAGTGGCATTGAGAATAAGATTGATTATGAATGCCTAATACAGTGTGGTAGTGTCTAACACGACAGGTTGGCCTTCTAGTTAGCTATCACCAAATTAGTGGCTCTTGACATTTTAATTGGAGTTATTATTTAACACCCTATGGTTAGACTTGCAGTGATGGCCTGTGTCTATTGTTCAGGCAGTGAGAGGTATTATACGAAAAGCGTTTTTTTAAGCAGATCGGGCTCTGTATGAATGTATACAATAAAAACTAATTTCCTTCGCTCAAGACATTAATGGACATGTAATTGTTTCGTGTTCATTGGTGCAGGTCATGCAGTCATTAGAATCAATGAGACCTTACATGATATCAATTTTGTTTTGAAAAATATGCCTGTAATTGTAACAAACAGCATCAAAGAAAGAAAAAAAAACATTAAATGTTTGTTCTACTCAGTGTGATTGACAGGAGAGATGATCAGAGGGGCAGAGTTTTTACCACCATAATTAAGACCTGGACCGAAATGAGGGTAGAGTTTCTCTTTGAAGCAGCAGCCAGTGAAGGAGTAGATCAGAGCTGCAGCATCAACATCATAAAAGGAGACCAGACCCTCCTCATAATCCACAAACACCCCCACCTTCTCAGGCTGAGACTTCAGAGAGAGACGGACTGCAGGACCAGCAAAAGCTGTGTACTCATTTTTAATCAGCCATATTATCCAGTAACCTTTCTGAGGAGTCATTGTGATATTTCCCTTTCTGTTTATCGACTCTCTAGCCACTCCTAGAACCAACCCAGTCTTCCCTTCAACCTGAACCTCGTAATAAAATCTTCCTGAAGAGAAACTCTGCTTTGCTAAGACACGAGCACAATGATCAAATCTCTCTGGATTGTCTGGAAGATTCTTCTTCACATCACTGTCTTTAACTTGTTTTCCATCATCAGACAGGATGAGTTCAGGATGTGCTGTATCAGGATCAAGAGTCACATCCACCTCAGACTGCTGGACCCTCTTCAGCTCCACCTCAAGCAGCTTCTTCTGTTTACTGAGCGTCTCCTCCAGCTGAGTCACAGCTCTCCTCACAGTCCCCTCATATGAAGGTGGACGGACCCTGACTTCTGTCCAGTTCTTGGTGGGTGGAGCAGCGTTCAGGGACGTGAAGCTTTGGAGGAGGTGGAGCTGGTCTTCAGAGCGTGAGAGCTGCTCCACCTCAGAGCTCCTCTTCTTCAGCTCAGAGATTTCCTGTTCCAGCTCTTTGATGAAGCCTTCAGCCTGTTCCTCTGTCTCTCTCTGCTTCTCTTTGATGGTGTCGATGAGCTCGGCCTGGCTTCTCTCAACAGACTCCTTCAGAGCGGTGAAGACCTGAACACCATCTGCTATCTCTCTGTCTGCTCCTTCCTTACTGAGCTCCACTGAGCGATTCATCTCCTGGATCTTCAGTCGTCTCTTCTGGATCATCTGCTGAATTTCAGCCTCTGTCTTCCCCAGCTCAGCCTTCTTTCCTTCATATCCTTCTTTCAGAGGAACAACATCATGTAACTTGTGGTCTAAAACAGTGCAGAGCACGCAGACACACACCTGGTCGGTCTGACAGAACAGCTCCAGCGGTTTATCGTGCTTCACACACATCCTGCTTTCCAGGTTCTCCTCAGGGTCGATCAGCTGATGTTTCTTCAGGCCTGCTCTTGTCAGGTGAGGCGCCAGGTGAGTCTCACAGTAGGACTCCAGACACACCAGGCAGGACTTCAGGGCCTTCAGTCTGGTTCCAGTGCAGGCGTCACAGGGAACTTCTCCTGGTTTGACAACTTGTTGCTCTGAGCTGCTGCTGCTGGCTTTCTGTTGAGCTGACTGTCTGAACTGAGCAGCCATCTCAGAGATGAAAGTGTTGACCTGCAGCTCAGGCTTTATGTTGAACACCTTTTTACAGTTGGGACACTGACTCGGGATATTTCTATCCCAGTGTTGAGTGATGCAGGCTTTACAGAAGTTGTGTCCACATGGTGTGCTGACTGGATCAGTGAACACATTCAGACAGATGGAGCACATAAACTGATCTTCAGTCAGCAGACAGCTGGCAGCAGACATGTCTCTCTGGGGACAAATGTTGGAAAAAACATTAAATATAGTTATAGTTTAATTATTTGTTTAAAAATAATCTAACTATGAGTCGTCCTGAATTCCGTACAAATAGAAACTGAGTGAAGAAGAACCCGATGTGCAGTTCAGTGTTATTTATTGGAAATCACCAAGCCAAGAAAATAGGCGACAACATGGAGATCTTTTTCACAACAATAATAAATGAAAACAGTATGATATTATATTGTTGAGCTTAAATGTAATTATTAATAAATTAACAATGATTAACTTACACACATTAATTCAGCATATGTATTGAAAGAAAACACAAAACAGGACCATGACAGAGGGAGAGGAAAAAGGTGTATTCAGGTACTGTACTTGAGTTTTCTTTTATATTTTGTATTTATACCTCTACACCAAAACTACAGCTGGACCTAATTATACTTTCAATCCAATACATTCATTGTTGATGGTTAGTTTGTTTGTTACTTTACAGATATTACAAAAATAAAATAATCAAATAAATTATGATTTAATAAACCTCAGGGTAATTTACCAAGCAGTATAATAACATGTTCTACACATTGATCCATCACTAATTTAATCCAATGTTATAATATATTTAACTTTTTAAAAAGGATTTTCTTTTTCTTATTGTAAATGTCCACATTGTGGTATTTTACTTCAATAAATGATCAGAGTACACCCTGGTCTGAGGTATTGATGTAAATGAATCCTCATAGTTATCACTAATTCCATCCTCCATACATCATTGTACTTTTAATTTGTAACTAACTTTAATCAAATTTAGTTTATCATTGCTCAGTTTGGTGTGCGTCTCTTTTGTTGGAGCCAACGAGCCGTTTGTCACGATGCGATGCAACCAGCATTTAACTGCATCGCCCTATAAAAACATGTTGGGGATCAAATCCGACATGAGAGGCTTCTCAATACTCAAATGACCCTCCTCGACTCCTCGGTCCTCCGGTAGTGACCCGGAAATGAATTTCAGCGCGCCATTTTGAAGGACATCTCATTTCTCTAAATGCACTTCGAGGATCGAGCGTCGAGGAGGCTCTCTGGAGGAGCTCTAACCGAGGATACACTGATGGTTCCTCCACGGCTCCTCCGCGGATGCATTTCCGGGAACGGTGGAGGCGTGACGCACGGCCGGACTTATCTCAGCCAATGACAGCTCTGCATGCATCCCCTGGATATTATTTTAGAAACTGCTTTCAACGCGTCGCGATGTTTCCAGAGAGAACATCTGTAAGGTCCATGCAGAAAGCAGAGCAGTGTGTATAATATATATCACTCAGTAGAACAGGCCTACTCTCTTTATTTGCTTTAGTTTAGTAGATATCTACAAACAAATAGTCAATATTTTTCAAAGACCATTTAGTGCTTCACATAATAAAATACACAACGGCTGGAGCCTGATTATGCTGTAGGAGCAGTAGGTGTGTGTGGTACAGTGTGTAGGTGTGTGTGTGTGGTACAGTGTGTAGGTGTGTGTGTGTTACAGTGTGTAAGTGTGGTACAGTGTGTAGGTGTGTGTGGTACAGTGTGTAGGTGTGTGTGTGTGGTACAGTGTGTAGGTGTGTGTGTGTGTGTGTGGTACAGTGTGTAGGTGTGTGTGGTACAGTGTGTAGGTGTGCGTGTGTGTGTGTGTGTGTGTGTGTGTGTGTGTGTGTGTGTGTGTGTGTGTGTGTGTGTGTGTGTGTGTGTGTGTGTGTGTGTGTGTGTGTGTGTGTGTGTGTGTGTGTGTGTGTGTGTGTGTGTTGTATAGTGCGTAGATGCGGCGGACAAACGGGTCTCAGTTGGTTTGGTGTCCTCTGCTTACTTTTAATAGGCCTACTTGTAAATACAACTTTTGGCCCGTAATTTCAATTCCCCATTTCAGCGACCAGAGAGAGGGGGGGATATATCCAGTCTCTGATTGTGTTACGTTATTATGAGAGTGCTCTCATACTTTAAATTGTATATATTTATATACATATATTTGTGTGTGTGTGTCCGCATCTGTAGCCTGTTATTGTCTCATTATACCGCACTCTCAATGAATTCAAAGTAAATATGTGGGGGAACAATGTTCAGCTGATCTAACAGAGATACAGTGCTATGACAAAACACTCAACAGCTGATGCAGCTGTTGCCACGTAATAATGAACGGACGTCGCTTTAATATGACCACTCAGAGGAGAGGAGTTCTCATTTATTTAAACATCTGCTGCTTCCCCTCCTCGGTCCTCCGCTCGCATCTCCTGTGGGCGGGACTAAGGCCCAATCCCAAACCACTCCCTCGACCCTACCCCTCCGTGACGGAGTGAACTCCGTCTGTAGCCACACTCTCAGCTCAACGATGCTCCCTCCTGTCAGGTGGAGGGAGTAAACACAGCAGCAAGCTTTGGGACGGCCTCCCCTCTCTCCGGCAGAAACAGGAAATGCCGTAACTGTATCTAACAACGGTTTCAAATCAGCATCTCTTAGACCAAATGTAAATTAATAACTCAAATAAAACTCCAAACATATTTCATTGTGTTGTTGTCTTTTTTGTAAAGCTCTTTTAGTTTTAAACCTGATGTTTATAAGCTTCTTAGTTTTTGCAACAGTCTGTAAGTATACACAACTTTATAATAAAATGCACACATTTACCTTTTTCTAGACTAAACACAGGTTTGATCCTAAGTTAAAACATGAGGTCATCATGAGGTTGTTAACATCGCAGTTTATCAGTGGATGTTTGCTGGAACTACTTGTAAACAGCTTGTCTCCTGACGGACACACGTGGAGTCCGGTCAGGTAGAGACCGGTCTCAAGTCTCAAGTCAGCACCGATGCAGACTCGCTGTTTGAGGGCTTGATAGCCCACTCCCCCTCCACACTCGTTGGTTTGGAACAGCCCTCAATATGGCGGACCCTCCGCGTGAACGGAGGGGTAGGGTGTAGGGGGCGGTTTGGGAATGGGCCTAAGTCTCGAGGAGGGGAGTCGAGGAGGGGAGTCGAGGAGGAGACATTTAAGAATTGAGAAACCTCTATGGTCTGCAGTGTAGCGTCTGAAAACGTTTCATTTAGCTCTGCTGGAGACTGGGGCGGATACGGAGAGTCAAGAGAGGCTTCTTGTAAGAGAATATTTTCATCTGATCTGTTTATAGAGTCTTTTATGGTTCCTTAGAGTCTGTGATACTGCAAACATCTGCTTGTAGTCAGTCAGAGACTTCTCTGTAGGTTGAGGTCACAGGTCAAACGCGTCTCCTATGTCCGAGGGTTGACCTGGCAGGATCTCTTTGAGACAAGCAGATCATTGTCTTGCATCGGCTAATTGATTATACGCGGGCTTTCTGGAAGCCCGCCTCTCCTCGTGTTGGTTAGATGTTTTGTGTCTTTTGGGTTCAGAGATCGCTGGTGGAGCACTGGGCATGTGTGAAACTTAGATGATCTCCCCGGCCGTATGTAATTAATGTACTGTGATCAATAAACTCTTCAGTGCTTTTGGCTAACAACGGTTCCAGACTCCTTCATTCTACCTCAACATTGCAACAACAGAAGTTTACCTTCACACTTCTCAATACTCAAATTTCCCCTCCTCGACTCCTCGGTCCTCGGTCCTCCGGTAGTGACCCGGAAATGAATTTCAGCGCGCCATTTTGAAGAACATCTCATTTCTCTAAATGCACACCGAGGACCGAGGACCGAGCATCGAGCGTCGAGGAGGCTCTCTGGAGGAGCTCTAACCGAGGATTAGGGTTGGGAACCGAAACTCGGTTCCAGATGAGAACCGATAAGAAAATGCCGGGTACCGGGTACCCGTACAAAATACACAATTTCGGTTCTGCTTAACGGTTCCTAAACGCGGTAGACCCTGTATTCCAGCGGGTCCGTCTGCACCGCGGTGCTGCGGTGACCCGGTGGAATACAGGGCGGACCTGGAGAATCACAGAACGGCCGGTCGTCAGCGGGCCGTTGACGGCCGGCTCGGTACGCTGACGGCCGGCACCGCCCTTCATTTTTTTAAACGGCATCATATAAGTTGCGCTGACAGGCGACAGAGGTCCACAGTTGCCCCGCAGCGATGCTCCCCCGCCCTCCCGTAGACATTTCACGAGCTCAGTCACTTCATAACACCAAAGATAGGTCGCGGTAAACACTCTGAAGTGAGGCTCCACTACACTAAAAAAGAAAAAGAAAAGGCAAAGTGTAATGCCTGTTAATAGCTTGCCACAGGCATAGCTCAGTTAAAATAAAGCACAGCTATTGTGCAATACATTTGTATTGCATGTATATTTTTGAGTAACAATTTCAGTTAAAGCTTTTAAGAATAAATATATTTTTGTTATCTAAACGTTTGACCTCTTTATTTTACAATTTTGGAATCGAAACGGGGAATCGATAAGAACCGGAATCGATAAGCAGAACCGGAATCGAAATCGGAATCGATAAATTTCAAACGATACCCATCCCTACCGAGGATACACTGATGGTTCCTCCACGGCTCCTCCACGGATGCATTTCCGGGAACGGTGGAGGCGTGACGCATGGCCGGACTTATCTCAGCCAATCACAGCTCTGCAGCTGGATATTATTTTAGAAACTGCTTTCATCTTGTCGCGATGTTTCCAGAGAGAACAGCTGTGAGGTCCATGCAGAAAGCAGAGCAGTGTGTATAATATATATCACTCAGTATAACAGGCCTACTCTCTTTATTTGCTTTAGTTTAGTAGATATCTACAAACAAAGAGTCGATATTTTTCTAAGACCATTGCTTCACATAATAAAATACACAACGGCTTATGCTTTAGGAGCTGTAGGTGTGTGTGGTACAGTGTGTAGGTGTGTGTGGTACAGTGTGTAGGTGTGTGTTGTACAGTGTGTAGGTGTGTGTGGTACAGTGTGTGTGTGTGTGTGTGTGTGTGTTGTACAGTGCGTAAATGCGGCGGACAGACGGGTCTCAGTTGGTTTGGTGTCCTCTGCTTACTTTTAATAGGCTACTTGTAAATACAACTTTTGGCCCGTCATTTAAATTCCCCATTTCAGCGACCAGAGAGAGGGGGGGGATATATCCAGTCTCTGATTGTGTTACGTTATTATGAGAGTGCTCTCATACTTTAAATTGTATATATATATATAAATATATTTGTGTGTGTGCGTCCGCATCTGTAGCCTGTTATTGTCTCATTATACCGCACTCTCAATGAATTCAAAGTAAATATGTGGGGGAACAATGTTCAGCTGATCTAACAGAGCAACCCAGTCTCACGGCATTTCGTGTTCACCAACACGATTTTTAATCTATTGATTCGTGTTCACCAACACGATTTGCCCCTTTTTTTCGTGTTGCACTGCACGATTTTAAAAGCAATGTATTTCTACTGCCTGCAGCACGTCTTTTTCTCCGGTCGGGTCGAGGAAGACCGGAAGCTGTGTGGTTCATAAAAACATGTTCTTACTCAATATCAAGCCACAGTTATTGCTTTTATTTGAAATCGTATAATTTCGGACTTTTGTTGCCGTCTGTGAGGAAAATAAATGGGGCTCAGAGCCTCAGAATACTGAAATCTGTATTTTTAAAATCTTTTTTTCCTTCTAATCTGTTATTCTTTTCAAAATAACACACTGTTATTTACTCACCAATAACACACAATTATCCTTGCTTTTATTTATTGGTTTAATTCCATAATCTCGGGCTTTTTTGGCGTCCGTCAGGAACTGAATTTCAAAATAAAAATAACCGGAAACAGACGTAGGCATTTCGAGCGATTACCCAGGATCCTCAGCTATGGTTTTAAGCTTGTTGTTTTAGCTGCAATGCATGCTGGGATTTGGTGTTTATATGATATGAAATCCGGAAAACATTTTAAAAGAATAAAATAATACTTAATTCCGAGCGCTCTTGCTTTTCTCTTTGAAAGTCATCACATAACGGCATTGTAATACACGGTTCGGCTGCATTGTATATTACAGATCTGCCGTAGTTCTTTATTTATAGAGCCCTGATGAGAAGACCTTTGGAAAAACTGAGAAAATGCCGCCGAAACTGAATACTTGACGTGGATCATAAATATATTCAACAATTAAACAACATCTTCAATTTCTCTTCACACAATACGTCTCCTTGCAGTATCAACACTAATTCGGCTGACTTTTACATTTGATCTAATTCACAGATAGGTTATATTTACACCATAACGGTGCACAGCTGATATAAAAGGACTGTAGTTTTTAAAGATATTACTGATTTTCTTTGAATGTAAGAATGTAAATACTGAGTCTGAAATAGTATAGCAATATGCTGTAAAATTATGTGAAAGCATGCATAAAACTACACATCTTCAGATGTTGTACGAAAACAAAAGTGTCCTACACTAATAATACAAAGTTATTATGGCTGTGTGTACCTTGTGTGCACCGCCTAGTGGTTAAAGCACGTTATTGAATTATTGTGTTTTATTTGATTAAAAAAATATTAAGAGTACATACTTTCATAGGGGGAAAGTATAAATATAGAATATAAAATCAAGAAGATACTATAAGTGATCTCTACAATAAAACAGTTTAGTGCAGAATGTACAAAGATATTAATAGGAGGAGGTGCAAAACAGAAAAACAAATGAACCTTTATTTAAACATTAAATAACAGATTAAGGTCTTCTTTTAAATAAGAAAAAAACTTTGGGGGTATCTATCTACAGATAAATATTAAGCCTGACAAAGTACTTAACGTCTAATATATTGCTTTCCTGCAATGTTAAATATGTTGAAGCACTTATTTTAACTGATATTATACATATGAATTATACTCTTATGTATGTAGATAGAATAATACATGTGCAGAATATGACAGTTTAATGGTGGAGGTTCACACATATTGATAGATGTCTTGTAATGCACTGTTGAGGAACCTGTGACCCAAGTGTTTCATTCATTGCATAACTACACTGTAGTTGTGTATATGATATGTCAATACACCTTTGAAAATCTTGAAAGGGATGTGAAAAATAGCCATAATATGTAGTCTTTAATTAACTATTAGTAGAGAATAACGAGTAATGAATATACTTTATTACTCGTTTCCATTCATGTCAATTGCAGATACATGTTTAGTCTTCTCAAGCACCAACTATCAAATATCTCTCCTGATTGTTGGCACTTGACAATCACCTTACCTGAATTTTACTCAGGTGTAACTAAAGTCTGATTTAAGGGTTGTTTATATTTCACATAATTAATCAGAATCTGCAAAGTAACTCAAATAAATGCAGTGGAGTACACTGTAAAAAAAGATCGTAATTTTACAGGAAATAACTGTAAATTTGTATAGTAATTATCATGTTTTTTTAAATAACTTGCAAAATCCTGTAAAATGACAGATATTAACTATAAATTAACAACCCAAAACATTATTTGAAGTATTTTGACAATAACAACAAATAACGTTTATTTCCTTTTTTTTTTACTGTAAATTTACTATATAATATTTACAGTATTTTTGCACTTTCAGAAAATACATGCAGATGTACGTAAAATAAAATGTTTTTATCTGTAATTAAATATGTAACTCGTAATATAAAAGTGTATTACTATTATAAGACTTTAAGATGTTCTTTGTAATTTTAAGGTAAACATAAAACTGTAAGAAAAGCGTAAAATAAAAAAAACGTAAAATGTAAGTAAAACATTTTTACATAAATCATTTTCTCAATATTCGATTGAATCCAACAAAAACACAAAATATCCAATGTTGAAACAAAAGTAAATAAATATGTTTTCATGAAATTCCTAACTTACTATATTGTAAACATCTACAGTTGACAATATCATTAAAAAAAAAAAATCATAGAAAGTGGAGAAATCTCTGCAGGGAGGACCAAGGTTTAAAACACACACTGTTATTTACTCAACAATAAGTCACAGTTATCCTTGTTTTATTTATGTGTTCTGTTGCTGTGTTTTTTTCCATTGGTCAATTTACAGTAATAAACCTTAGTTTTACAGTATAATGTATGGTTTTCGGATTCTGGCCGACAGCCAGAGCTACGGCACTTGAAATAGAATTCAGCCAAAACACGGCAGACAAGTCAGGCATGTTTGGAATGAGTCCACAACACTCCTGATTGGTTAATATAAACATAATCGAAGAAACCTGCCAATGAGAACTGTCCGCGCCTGTCGTTCACATTTGAAACATCCAAGTCAGTTTGAGCGGGTCTCCTCCTGCTGGAGCTACAGCTGTCTGTGTGTCTGTTACAGGAGTTTATGGATTCATATCGGGATCGTTTTACACACGTTAAATATGAGCATCGGGACGTCAACAAAGAACAGAAGACTTGAGATCTGGTGAGTCCTGCAACTGTAATGGAGTTAAACATGTATTTAGATAATCCTTACTTAGTTTGTGAATGTTTTATTTTTTATTTAAGGTTACGTTTCTTCTTCTAGTTAGCTGAGTTTCTTCCGGTTAAGTTGGTATGCATAATTAATAGGTTGTTAAATGTTAAGAAGCCCTGAGATGCTGTTTCTTGCAAGATGTTGCGCCCGGGAAACCCGGCTTAACATGCGGCTGCTAACGTTAGTTTACAGTTTATTGCAGTGCCACCCCCCCCCACCCTCTCGTCTCCAACACGGGAGAATTACACATAAACATGCAGTGGGGTATCACAGTGTTGTCGCCAAGTTTAATGTAAAGTTTCACAGCTTTCTTACAGCGGAATCTAGTTTGTTAATGTTCAGTAGCCAACAGCTAGCATAGCATAAACAGCTAACCGCTAACGTTCGGCTAATTTGCTAGTTAGCTCTGCTCTATATATTACACGCTAACATGACTAGCTAATGTCACACTGTGAACTAAAATACTTTTTGTATTACTACATCATACATGCTTGGTCCAAATCACTGCTAAAATTAATTATATTTGAAAATGTATAGTAAAGAAACACTCAGCCATGCATGAAATAACATAGCAAAAGAATACGGGTAATGTTTGACCCATGTTGTGCCTTAGAAGTGTAGTGATACAAACATGATTTGTATTCAAAAAGTAAGAAAGGGACAAATAAAAATTAGAATTGGTGTTGATCCAAAACATGTTAATTGAGGAATACCTGGGATCCTGAATGGTTAAAGTAATTTATTGCAAAGATATTTACAATTAAAACTAATTCGGGTCACTTTTGACACATGTTGGTTGTATGTTGTGTAACAAAGGGTTAACATGACAGCTGTGATGTTCACTCTTTTGACAGAGCACCAGTGGACAGCGAAGACTATGGAAGAGAAGATGTGATGGTTTTGTGTGGAAAGCTGCTAACGCCAGCCTGTGTCCCTCTCATCAGTCTCTCCAGGCAGCACCCAGCTATTCTTCCATCTTGCAGATGAAAATACTTTGATATGTGAGTAATAACTAACTTGTGTCTAACATAATATTGAATGTGGTTTAGTAAAGTATTTAAAAATACCCCACATTGTACATGTACAGGACAATCAGACCTTGTTCAACAAAGATCATCAGACAATTGTTTTGTCTTTAAGGTACAGCTGCAGCAGAGAGTCTTGAGTTTGAAGAAAACACTAACATTTTATTTAGTGTTGTTTAATCAATCAATATTTACTGGTCTTGAATTTCCTCACTGTATTACAAAATGCTCGAATCTTATTGTACAGGAACATTATGCAGATTTCATCACCTGAAGATAAAAATATAGATTCAGCGATATGTACCATTTTAAGGAAATGGACTGTTAGCGGTATTGACCAAAGCTCCGCAGCTGTAGCTAGGCGCTGCTAATGAACACTCAAGTGCTCAATTTGTTGGTTTTTCTTTTTTATTAAGAATTGACCAAGCATATCTTCCTCTTCGAAATCCCAGTTGTACTTCGCTAACACGCAGTGCCTGGGAGGGTGCGTTTGATTGTTCCCACAATAGTGCGTGCGTGCGCTTGTGCTTCAAAGGTCCATCATACAAGATGTAGGGGATCTATTGGCAGCTGCTGATAATAACATCCATCATTATGGTTTACTAATAGTTATCACTTCACTTCCTCCTCCAGCATCTGGACACAGCAGGAACCTACGCCAGGATCCTGTTTGTGGACTTCAGCTCTGCCTTCAACACAACACTCTGGCTGGAGGCTGCGCTCCATCAGGACCAACACCTCTCTCCCTCAGGACCAGAACCTCTCTCCATCAGGACCAACACCTCTCTCCATCAGGACCAACACCTCTCTCCATCAGGACCAGAACCTCTCTCCATCAGGACCAGAACCTCTCTCCATCAGGACCAAAACCTCTCTCCATCAGGACCAAAACCTCTCTCCATCAGGACCACAACCTCTCTCCATCAGGACCAGAACCTCTCTCCATCAGGACCAAAACCTCTCCATCAGGACCAACACCTCTCTCCATCAGGACCAGAACCTCTCTCCATCAGGACCAAAACCTCTCTCCATCAGGACCAACACCTCTCTCCATCAGGACCAGAACCTCTCTCCATCAGGACCAAAACCTCTCTCCATCAGGACCAACACCTCTCTCCATCAGGACCAACACCTCTCTCCATCAGGACCAACACCTCTCTCCATCAGGACCAAAACCTCTCTCCATCAGGACCAACACCTCTCTCCATCAGGACCAGAACCTCTCTCCATCAGGACCAAAACCTCTCTCCATCAGGACCAACACCTCTCTCCATCAGGACCAACACCTCTCTCCATCAGGACCAAAACCTCTCTCCATCAGGACCAGAACCTCTCTCCATCAGGACCAACACCTCTCTCCATCAGGACCAACACCGCTGCTGCCAGTACTTTGACCGTTTTTTTACGAGTTTTATGGAGATTATGGAATTAAACCAATAAATAAAAGCAAGGATAATTGTGTGTTATTGGTGAGTAAATAACAGTGTGTTATTTTGAAAAGAATATCGAATTAGAAGGAAACAAATATTTTAAAATACAGATTTCAGTATTCTGAGGCTCTGAGCCCCATTTATTTTCCTCACAGACGTCAACAAAAGTCCGAAATTATACGATTTCAAATAAAAGCAATAACTGTGGCTTGATATTGAGTAAGAACATGTTTTTATGAACCACACAGCTTCCGGTCTTCCTCGACCCAACCGGAGAAAAAGACGTGCTGCAGGCAATAGAAATACATTGCTTTTAAAATCGTGCTGTGCAACACGAAAAAAAGGGGCAAATCGTGTTGGTGAACACGAATCAATAGATTAAAAATCGTGTTGGTGAACACGAAATGCCGTGATACTGGGTTGAACAGAGATACAGCGCTATGACAAAACACTCGACAGCTGATGCAGCTGTTGCCACGTAATAATGAACGGACGTCGCTTTAAAATGACCGCTCAGAGGAGAGGAGTTCTCATTTCTTTAAACGTCTGCTGCTTCCCCTCCTCGGTCCTCCGCTCGCATCTCCTGTGGGCGGGTCTAAGTCTCGAGGAGGGGAACCGAGGAGGGGAGTCGAGGAGGGGAAATATGAGTATTGACAAGCCTCTAAGGAGTTCGCAAATGTTACTTTAGATTATTTTTGCAAAGGGTTTGAATGTATTTACATAATGTATTGAGGCTGCCTCTCACTGCCTGCTTCCAGTCACTTTTATAGCCGTAGCATTTAGCTGCTTTTAGGGTTGTTAAACATACTTCCTGTTTGAGCAGAGCTGAGGCTTTGAGTTCATACAGGAAACAGGGCTGGAAGTTAGCCTAAGCTAATGCTAGCTGTGACGTTACCCTGTCTAAACTTCACTAGCCAGAGTTTAGTCACTGGGTTTGGTTTTAAACCTGCTTTGTACTCAAGTCTAAATGTAAACGTTTTTATCTTAAAAGACAAATGTATATGGCCAAATATTCACTATATGTCTGAACAGACATATCAGCCTCAGATTCTGATTAAACTAAACCTTGTTCAAATATTTAGTTAGTGATTGTGTGTATGTAGTGTACTCACCAGTGTTTGGCAGAGATTCTGCTGTGTTGTTGAGAGAAAGCTGCTGGATTCAGTCGAGTGTGTATTTAGAGAGAAACTGAGAGACTTGTCAGGACTGCAGCTCTGCTTTACCTTTACTTTTACGTCAGTGCAGTTGAAGCTCTCCTATCAGTGTTGCTCCACCTCTCACTGGCCCTTCGCCAAGAGGGAGTGGAGGAAATATTCAGGTTATTCATTGAAATAAAATAACTAATACAACACTGTGAAAGATACTATAGTACAAGTAAAAGTCCTGCATTCAAAACTGTCCATCAGTAAAAGTATGTAGGCCTATGTCAGTCAAGATCACAATCACAACATCAGTTTTGTAGTGTTTATATAGCTCTAGTGGAGGATATCATGAAGCCTTGTTCCGATGCTGTACTAGAGCGTAGTTATTATATAATTTTAACTTGAAACAAACACAACATAAGGGTTAAAGACTGAATCACATTTAGTGAGCATTTGTTATTTGTCTAACCCCAAGACCCCAAAGTAAATCAGCAGTTTTCACAAGTAGATTATAATAATGTTCAAAGAAAATCGGTTAAATCATCAGTTCATCTAAAACAATTATAAACTGAAAAAAACAACCCATTCCTAAATGAATTCATGTAAAATAAACACATCCTAGAACATCATCAAACATATCATAAGAGCTTTGTTAACAAGCCATTGAACGCTGTAATAATGCTAATGACAAATACAATAAAACACCCTGACCAAATTGTAAGAAGATCAGACAAAAACTGTAGGAGGAGTTTGTTGAAAGATGGCACCAAAAAATGCAAAAAGTGGTCAAAAATGGCACATACATTTAAAACTGGCCGACTTCCTGTTTGATTTACGATACGCCTCCAAGAGACTTTTCTGGGCGTCTCACCATGCCAGACATGCCTACCAAATATCAGACTTGTAGATGAAAGCACAACGAGGGGCTGTATGATAGCAACCTTGTAGAGGGCGCGATAGAGCTGTTTTGCCTGCATTGATAATGAGACCCCTAACATATCAATTTGTTTGTTTGTTGGTTCAAGTTTGCAAATAGTCTCCATCATTTCAGCATGATAAGGCCCTCAAAAATACTTATCATTACTTGTAAATTATAATAATTAAAAATAAATTACAGTAATAACAATAGGTCCTCTGCTCTGACCTATGGTTCAAGGTTCAAGGCTTTTATTGGTCAGGTAGCTACAGCGTAGTTATGACGATGACAATCTTAGGTCACAAGGCCCTATTAATGCTACTACTCTGCTTCTGTTATTGTTATAAAAGTTATTATGTCTTATATCAAGTGTAAAGATATATTCTGGCAACATTGCAGGGACAGGTGCTTTGCCAGCTCGCCAAACGTCCATTGTTCGATCACCTGATTGTACTCAGCTGTCACCATGCGTCACAGAGAGAGTGCAGAGCAAAGGGCTCATCATCTATTTTTCTAAGAATAACCCTGACCTCCCTCCTCTTCCTCTTTGCCACCGAGCCGCCTTGTTCCCTCGCTGAGTGTCGGTGGCAGCGGCATCCATCACGGGCCGGAGAGGAGCTTCCTGTCGGATTCATCCATCTCCTCCCTCCACCTCTCGAGGGAAGAGAGGACGGCTGCTGTGACCTGGAACATGGAGGTCACAGGGTCAAACTACTTCAAAATAAAAGTCTTTAAAAGCTTGAAAACTTAGGGATGAACTGGAGGAGATCTTCTGAAAGCTCACGACAAACAGCTGAATAGTAAAACACTGACAGTATCGACTCTGCATTATTACATTAATAATGTAACATTACACACCTACGGACAACCCACTATGCCACACGCCTCCCTATTAATAACATTTAGTTCCTAGTGTTGTACTTTTACTTGTATTTGAAAGTATGTGTCAGTAGTGGAATGAGGCAAAATAATATTTAAGTGCTTGAGTTCAAATGTAGTACCTGTTATTTACTTTACTACCATGTAATGCTACTTTATACTTCCACTGCATCTTAGGCGGCGTAGGGAGGCGTGTGGCGCAGTGGACTAGTGTGTTGGTGTTGGGATCAGGGAGCACAGGTTCAAACCCCACTGCAGTCAGCATGTCGTTGTGTCCCTGAGACACTTCACCCCAAATCGCTCCTGTGGGGATTGTCCACAGTATAGAGTATGTAAGTCGCTTTGGATAAAAGCATCTAACAAGTGACATGTAATGTAATCTTATGATTGAATATTAAAGAGGCATTTGGGCTTTTCCCTTCACTGTAGTGTGTTATTTAGGTTTTTGTGCATTTAAATGGTCTCCCTGTGGAGGTTAAAACGTTTGAGTTTTAAGTTAACGACCATTTGAAATCTTATTGGATCAATTCAAACTCATTCGATCAAAGAAAAATGACTGAAAGGTGAAACAGGAATCATGTTCTCAGAGAAACTCAACACACAGAGAGCATTATCGCCCCCTGCTGTGAAAATAAAGCAACACATCTCTTGGAAAACCTTGAATTTATTTTTCTAATCATGGAAACATCCTTGAAAAAGTGCGGTAAGAAGTTTGTTTTTAACTTTTTCTGGGACCGCAGACATCTTTTTAAGGCAAATGGAGTTTGTCTGAACAAGTCAGGAGTGAAATTGTTTATCTCTAACATATTCAACTGCCTGCGTCATCAATCTGTTCCCTCTGCCAAGGACAAGCGGCAAGAGGAATCAAAACAGGAGAAAGACACAACACATCGCGCAGAAAACCCTGAAGAAGTATCACTGCACCCGCCTGAGGAATGTTCTGATTATGGGAGACCTATGACACAAATGGAGGAGTCTCCACTGCCCGTCACCCCCCCTGTCAACGCCTTTGAGGATACTCTTCATTCATCCCCCAGCTCTCTCTACTCTCCGCTCACCCTCTCACCCTCGCCCACCCCCCTGGAGTTCAATGACCGCATGACGGCGACACGCAGGGTTGGCAGCATGTCCTTTACCCCCGCCCCTCAACGACGCCCACCAAAATCATCGAAGCAGAGATGCGCACCATCTCCCCCGGCTTCATCACCATGCCTACCACAATCATCAAAACCACAACAATACAAGGAAGATGGAAGCAGATTTCCAAACCCCCCTTCCTACAGTGTAGCCCTCACCCTGCCCTCCTATGATGAGAGGAGCAGGGTGGTGGGTCCTCCCTCCCCTTCAAAGCCTGATAGGGATGCGTGTGTACAAAACGCTGGCATGTCCTTTACCCCCGCTCCTCAACGCCCACCAAAATCACCGCAGAGACGCGCACCATCTCCCCCGTCTTCATCACCGCGCCTACGTCAACCACCTCCCCCCCCTGGTCAACCACCTCCCCTCCCTTCAAGAAAGCATCTGCAGTCTCCGAAGCCTGATAAGGATGTGTGTGTACAAAACACAACAAATTCTTACTGATATGTGCTGGGTCCAGGCTCAAGGGCGTATGGCACTCTCAACTCTTTCCAGGACATGCCGGGGCCCTGCCTGCCAGTAGCTTTGCCGATATCTGTGTTGATAGGTAATAGATTAAGAGCGGTGAATCTTAGAAACAGGAAGCGCTCAAACGTTTGTGTGAGTTTATCTAATTTAGCAGTGATTCCATGTCAGCCACAGCTTGTTACAAAAAACATGACTGATACTGTGTTTAACAAACTTAAACTAGCTTTATTAAATGTCAGGTCTTTGGCAGGAAAAACATTTTTAATCAATGATGTTATCACTGAGCACAATCTTGATTTTATGTTTTTAACGAAAACATGGATTGAACAAAATCACAGTGCAGCTGTTCTTATCGAATCAACCCCTCCCAACTTTAGTTTTATGAGTCAGGAAAGAATGCATAAGAAAGGGGGTGGAGTTGCTATTCTGTTCAATGATTCCCTTCAATGCAGGAAGACATCGTATGGAAACTTTGATTCTTTTGAATATGTGGCCCTTCAGCTGAAATGCTCCTCTCGAGCTCTGTTCCTAAATATCTATAGACCACCCAAATACTGTGCAAGCTTTTTTGATGACTTTACTGAACTGCTGTCTATAGTGTGTATTGACTTTGACCGTCTAGTCATTGTTGGTGATTTTAACATCCATGTTGACAACCCCCAGGACAGAGGGGCTAAAGAACTGTTTTGTGTTCTTGATAGCTATGGACTGACTCAGCATGTGACGGAGCCCACGCACAATAAGGGGCACACTCTGGACTTAATTATCTCAAAGGGTCTGAATATCTCTAAGGTTGTGGTGACTGATGTTGCACTCTCTGATCATTCCTGTGTTTTCTTTGAGAGCTCTATTTCTGTTCACAAAAATGTTCAAAAAGAGGTAACCACAAAGCGATATTTAACTGAAAATACTAGGGAAATGTTTACTCACAATTTTTCTTCCACACTTGCCCCTGCTAACATCTCAGTAAATGAGCTAGTAGATCATTTTAATTCAAAAATTAAAAATGTTATAGATGAAAACAGAAAAAAGAGAATGTCGAAAAGCTGAACGCAGGTGGCGAAAAACAAATCTCCAGGTTCACTTTGAAATCTATAAAGAGAGACTTGGCCTTTATAATTTGGAATTGAAAAACGCACGACAATCGTTCTTCTCTGACATCATTACCAAAAACAAAAACAACGCACGTGCCTTGTTTGCTACCGTCGACAGACTAACTAACCCCCCAGTGTCAGTAGCCTCTGAATTTCTATCCACCAGGGCGTGCAATGATTTTGCCTTCTTCACTGACAACATTCAGAAAATCAGACAAGCAGTCAGTGCCTCTGCATCAGGAACAGCAAATGTGTTGTCCCTATCTCCACTTAACATCAACTCAAACACCATGACACAATTCCATCAGATTAATGATAAAAACCTAGAGGACATTATACAACTTCTGAAATCCTCCTCCTGCTGCCTTGATATTATTCCAACAAGATTTTTCAAAGATGTTTTGCCTTGCATGGCCTCAGATCTACTTCATATAGTAAACAAATCTCTTCACTCAGGTGTTTTTCCACAGGCCCTGAAAACTGCAGTCATTAAACCGCTCTTAAAAAGAATAATCTAGATGCTTCAGTAATGAACAATTACAGGCCCATATCAAACCTCCCATTTCTAGGTAAAATCATTGAAAAAGTTGTTTTTCAACAGTTGAGTAATTTCTTGCATTTAAATAACTGTTTTGATGTGTTCCAGTCAGGCTTTCGTCCAAACCACAGCACTGAGACTGCTCTTGTAAAGGTCTTCAATGACATCCACTTAAACACAGACAGTGGCAGAACTTCAGTGTTAGTATTATTAGATCTCAGTGCTGCGTTTGACACTGTTGACCACAGCATATTACTAGACCGACTGGAGAACTGGGTGGGACTTTCGGAAACAGTTCTGAATTGGTTTGAATCCTACTTAAAGGACAGAAACAACTTTGTTTCTATAGGTAAATACACATCTGAGTTGACACATATGACATGTGGGGTACCTCAAGGCTCCATCTTGGGGCCTCTTCTCTTTAACATCTACATGCTACCACTCAGATAATGAAGAACAACAAAATAAGTTACCATAGCAGATGACACACATTTACGTAACAATTTCACCAGGAGACTATGCTCCAATTCAAACACTGAGTAAGTGCATTGAACAAATCAATGACTGGATGTGTCAGAACTTTCTCCAATTAAACAAAGATAAAACTGAGGTAATGGTTTTTGGAGCCAAGTCAGAACGTATAAAAGTTAGCGCTGAGCTTCAGTCTGCAATGTTCAAAACAACAGATAAAGCCAGAAATCTAGGTGTAGTCATGGACTCTGACCTGAGTTTCAACAGTCACATTAAAACAGTTACTAAATCAGCCTACTATCACCTAAAGAACATATCTAGGATTAAAAGACTAATGTCACAGCAGGATTTGGAAAAACTTGTCCATGCTTTTATCTTCAGTAGACTCGACTACTGCAATGGTGTCTTCACAGGTCTCACTAAAAAATCTATTAGGAAGCTGCAGCTGATTCAGAACGCCGCTGCTCGAGTCCTCACTAACACTAAGAAAGTGGATCACATCACTCCAGTTCTGAAGTCTTTACACTGGCTTCCTGTGTGTCAAAGAATAGATTTCTAAATACTGCTGCTGGTTTATAAAGCACTGAATGGTTTAGGCCCAAAATACATTTCTGACCTCCTGCTAAATGATGAACCATCCAGATCTCTCAGGTCTTCAGGGACTGGTCAGCTTTCTGTCCCCAGAGTCAGAACTAAACATGGAGAAGCAGCGTTCAATTATTATGCTCCAAATATCTGGAACAAACTCCCAGAAACCTGCAGGTCCGCTGCAACTCTGACTACTTTTAAATCCAGGCTGAAGACTTTTCTTTTTGTCGCTGCTTTTAATTGAACTATTCATATCTTAGACTGCACTGTAACTTTTATCCATGTATTTTTTCTTTTAATGTTTATTTTATTAGCTTTTCTTTTTAATGACTGATTTTAAATGCCATTTTCTTAATGTCTTTCATTTTTTGTAAAGCACTTTGAATTGCCTTGTGTTGAAAAGTGCTATATAAATAAACTTGCCTTGCCTTGCCTTGCCTATGGATTTTAAATTAGCCCTTTTGTAATTACAGTCGATGTTTTTTGCATTGGATATGGAAATGATTTTGAAATATGAAATAGGATCAAGCTTCAAGATGAAATCAACCAACTCACTGTATATACAATAAGTAAAACTGTCTCTCCATTTTGAGCAGCCACATCAGTAAAATGCCGATTTGACGTTCATCATTCAGTTTTACAATCTAATTATGTCACTTAAATAAAATATCCTTCACACAAGAGGTTTTGCTGCAGTACATGTAGCTAGATATTTCACCTTTTCATTATTATTTTCAGATTTGGAGGTAGTATGTGGGTCATTTGGAGTTTTGAATTCATACCCACTACAAAAAAATATGAGTTAAACTAGTAGTGAAAGTCCTACATTGGATATGTAAATCAGATTAAAGAAAATAGGCTATGTACGTACCATGAAACTTTACTAGTAAACAGTCAGCATTGAGTGTATTAGTTTTATATATAACATTATCGTGTATTGCTGTAAAAACATGCATTTACTTTTAACTGTGTTCAATTGAACTATTGAAAACAAACTATTTCCAGCAGAGCATCTTCCTCCAGGGTCCGTCAGAGGACGTGATGACGTATGACGACAGACGCTACAAAGTTCTGATGCTTTCACGTGTTGCATGAAATGTAGGAATTAAAAAGATCTTTACATAAATACAGACAACCAATAGGAAAGAGGGGAGGATAATACTTTTTGTATTGAACATTTTGTTGGGTTACGTCATGAAACCCTCAAATGTGATTCTAGTCCCTCCTTTAATCGTACCTTTATCTATGGATATTACTTATTTTATTTGTCTGAAAAGCATACATTCTGTGTTGCACACGTTTAATGAGACTTGCTATTAGATTTTTGGGAAATAAATGGAACAACAGGTTGGATATTTTTTTAATTATAACTCAAGTACAGTAACAAAAACGTACAAACTAAATTATAAATGTATTAAACTGAATATGTTTCATGCAGTATTGTAATCTGACCAGGTAACAGTGGGTGCATATCAAGACATATACAAGTAAAAGTCCTGCAATAAAAATCCAACTCAAGTAATGGTACAAAAATGTTATCATCAAAATATATTTAAAGAACAAAAAGTAAAAGTAGTCAGTGTGCAGATTCGTCCATTTCAGAATAATATATATGATATGTTTTATTGTACTTAAGTACAGTACTTGAGTAAATGTAATTTGTTACTGATGAAACCCATGTTGTTTTTTTACTTATTCAAGCAAACAAATAAATAAAAATAATGATAATGACGGCACTTGTACTTGAATATTTACATTTGATGCTACTTTGTACGTTTCTGAGGCTAAATATATTCGTTCTACTAACTACATTCATTTGACAACAGTTGTTAAATACAAAATGTTTATCAATGAATAAAATACCAGCTATTTTTCAGGATGACGTTGTTATTGTTAGACTCAAATGGTAAAAAAAAAAGAATAATATTCTTAACGAGGAGGGACCTTTTTTCTGGGGATCTTCAGCTCAAAGCATAATGGGATTTACGTGAACAAAATACTTTAATTTGTTCTTTTTATATCAGTTTATTTTCATATACTTTTCACCAGTTTGGTTAAAAGCTATTACAAACAATGTGAAGTAGATAGTTTTCCTATAAACACTTCAGGCTGATTTTGATGCGGGGATGCAAGTACATTTAATACAAATTAAAAAAGTATAATTAATGAAAGTGCTGAAACATGGAAAAAAAACATCTATTTCTCGGCCGCACATGAACGCAACACCAGGCTCCTCCCCTTTCCGGTAAGAAACCGCTATCTGTCAGAAAAAAACATCCCGAGCACACAGGTCCGCTACATTATAACACCGCGGCGCTGTGATCCTTGTTTTCGGGGTTTGGAGCCCCTCCGGACACGCAGAGAGAACATGCCCAGACAGAGGTAACCGTTCCCGGGCTGCTGCTGCCTCCTCAGCCGGCTGAAGGACCAGGAGCAGAACCACAGATGGAGAGGCCGAGTAGACTGCTGCTTGTATCCGAGCTGCGCGTCAGAAACTCGGCGTACGATGTGAGCTTGAGTCGGGTCCCTGCTCACCTGGAAGAGACGGACTTCCAGTCCGGTTTACCACCCGTTCAGACCCAGTAAGACCCGAATGATGTGTCTGTTTATGTGTGCATCATTGCCTCTTTTATCTGTGTGTCTGTTGGCCTTTAACACACCGAGGCATCCTGTGTGATAAACAAAGGACAAACAGAGGGTACACACAGCCTGTGTTAAAACCTGCAGACAACACACATATTAATGCTCTGAAAACACCCAGAGGCTGTGACAATAAGTTACACGATAGAATATGAAATACAAATACAATTGAGTATAGTAAAAACAAATAAAATACAATAACAAATAAAAATAAAAATCGAGTAAAATAAAAAACAAATCAAATAGAGTACACTTAAATGAAATAAAATGGAGTAAAAATAACTTAAAATACAACAAAAATATATATGAAATCCTAGTCATATGGAGTAAAATTAGATACAATACTAATCCAAATACAATAGTGTAAAATAAAATGTAAACATTACATAACTACAGTGAGTAAGCATTGAGTTACATTATGATGCGTTCAAGTTCTATTCACTAAAAACATAGTAGGCTATACGGTGAAAGTAAATGTTCCAAATCTCCAAAATGACTTGTACAATGATGTGTGTTGGGGTGAGAAACTAAAGCGACAAATTCATTTATATGGCGATAACACACACATCAACGCACTGGAAACACCAAGATGTACTCCAGGCTGTAACAGTAAGTGAGACATGATATATCCGGTTACGTAAAACACAGTGTGACACACAATATGTGGAGGTCACAGTGAGGCTGCAGGTGGGTGGAAACAAAACACCAAACCACATGCATGTTTACAGTATTCTAAATGCAGCACCATTTTGTTTTAATTTCCTAAAAATTACAACTCTTATTCCTTACTGCCGGGATGGAAGCAGAGCTCTAGTTAAGGACACATTTGAGGGACTTTTGTATGCTCCTCCTTCTTGAACAAAGTGACATCACTATGGAACACTCACACTCCTATTGGCTAGGACTACATATATATATATATATGCCTGATATTGAGCAGAATAATGCCTTTTTTAAGAAAAAGTAACGATGCATACAGGTTTAAATATTCCATTACAAGTAAATGTCCCGCATTCAAAATCTCACTTGTGTGAAAAAACAGGTGTATTATCCATCTTAAAGTAAAAGTGGTCATTCTGCAGAAAAATGACCTCCACAACATAAATGAAAATGTTATATTATTATTATTATTGTTGCTGTTAAATGTTGTAAACAAAACACAGTTTCTGTTACACAAATAATGTCCTTTCTTTCTTACCTTTTTGGAAATATGTTGTATATTATTACCTTTTTGAACCTCAAACAGTTGGTCCACTGGTTCAACGTTAAGACATCTGAGCAAAATCCTAATTTGACTAAAGCTGTAACATACATGTAATGAAGTAGAAGAATAAAGTAACATTCAATGGAAATACTCACATAAAGTACAAGTTCTTGAGTAAATGTGCAACTAGGTTACTGGCTGCGGTTCTCCGGGGGAACCCACTCTGGGGGGTGTTTGTAACTCTGTGGTTCTCCTGCAGGTTTTTGTGTTCCTTCGTTCCCTCGTCGTCAAGCCTCAGGTAGGAGATGTTGCTCCCACAATGCAATGGGCCACCTCTTCCTGTGTGTGAGTGCGGGTTTTAGATTAGATTGTGGTGTCTGTTAAAAAAACAACACATGTTTCTGTGTTTGATGGATGAACTATGGACTCTGTTGCATGCAGTTATCTTTCCAAAATGATGCAAATTAATACACAAAAACTGCTTTTAAACATGATTTGGTTTATTTTAAGAGGCTCTATTATGCTTTTTAGAGGTTTCCCTTTCCTGTAGTGTTTACTTTTTGGTGCATGTAAATGGTCTGCAAAGGCTAAAATCCCTATGTTCCCTCCAGAGGGGCGCAACATCTCTAAGCGGTTGACCAATCACAACAGAGCCGGCCAGCTAACCAATCAGAGTACACTGGGCTCTGGTTTCAGACAGAGGGTGAGAAACAGGCAGTATGAGAAAAATAAAGAGCTTTTTGTACATTAAAGCATGGAGACATGTAGAGACACTACATACTGATATATACCTGAATATCAGCAGGAGAGGACTCTTTAAAGTAGAGACACTACATACTGATATACACCTGAACATCAGCAGGAGAGGACTCTTTAAAGTAGAGACACTACATACTGATATACACCTGAACATCAGCAGGAGAGGACCTTTAAAGTAGAGACAATACATACTGAGATACACCTGAACATCAACAGGAGAGGACTCTTTCAAGGTAGAGACACTACATACTGATATACACCTGAACATCAGCAGGAGAGGACTCTTTAAAGTAGAGACACTACATACTGATATACCCCTGGACATCAGCAGGAGAGGACTCTTTAAAGTAGAGACACTACATACTGATATACACCCGGAACATCAGCAGGAGAGGACTCTTAAAGTAGAGACACTACATACTGATATACACCTGAACATCAGCAGGAGATGGATCTCTTTAAAGTAGAGACACTACATACTGATAATACACAGAACATCAGACAGGAGAGGACTCTTTAAAGTAGAGGACACTACATACTGATATACACCTGAACATCAGCAGGAGAGGACTCTTTAAAGTAGAGACACTACATACTGATATACACCTGAACATCAGCAGGAGAGGACTCTTTAAAGTAGAGACACATACTGATATACACCTGACATCAGCAGGAGAGGACTCTTTAAAGTAGAGACACTACATACTGATATACACCTGAACATCAGCAGGAGAGGACTTTAAAGTAGAGACACTACATACTGATAACACCTGAACATCAGCAGAGAGGACTCTTTAAAGTAGAGACACTACTACTGATATACACCTGAACATCAGCAGGAGAGACTCTTTAAAGTAGAACACTACATACTGATATACACCTGAACATCAGCAGGAGAGGACTCTTTAAAGTAGAGACACTACATACTGATATACACCTGAACATCAGCAGGAGAGGACTCTTTAAAGTAGAGACACTACATACTGATATACACCTGAACATCAGCAGGAGAGGACTCTTTAAAGTAGAGACACTACATACTGATATACACCTGAACATCAGCAGGAGAGGACTCTTTAAAGTAGAGGACACTACATACTGATATACACCTGAAACATCAGCAGGAGAGGAACTCTTTAAGAGTAGAGGCACTACATACTGATATACACCTGAACAAATGACCCTTTTAGTACTTTTGTCTTGATTTTCAGAATAGTTTGTTACAATTTTGGAATAATGGCTTGAATATGCTTTTACAGAAGTGTCCATCAACATCCAGCAGAAACATGCCGTCCTCTTCGCTGCTCCTGGGTCACTGCCTGTAGTTTGCCTTCATAGTTGTAGTTCCTCTGCTGTAGTTTGTAGATTATGTGCGGCTTCTCAGAAATAAATCCTTCTTTATCGATATTCCTTCTAGGAATGGTTAAATGTTTTGGTATTTTTCTCTTTCTTTGGGAGTGTGGCTGTTCAGATGGATATAGATTTCATGTCTGTGTGGTAAATCTGCAGTGGCGTTGTTAGCCTAGCTTAGCATAGCTCCACCACTTATCCTGATTTTTTTTTAACAGTTTTCTTTTCATCTGGCGGTCAAAAAAACGAACTACACTTCGTTGTATTTGATTGATTTATTTCCATCAACCATTCGTTGGATTAACTGTGCTGCACCTATCAGTTATTTCCAATATTGATTTATCTATCAATCATTTGCTTAATAGACGTTTCATTTAGTCAACAGATTGATTTAGTTGCAAAGTGAGTGAACTTAAGATAATTAAGATATTCAATTTGCTGTCAGTAGGAAGCTGTTTTTAGTCGTTACAGGGATAATGCTGCAGTATTTTATTACACAAAATAAAATCTTTTTTTTGGGGCGAGTAACTAAAATAAAAAATACATTTGTGTAAATAAAATGTTTTTTTACAACAATATTATAAAATAAAATATTATGACCTGTTTAACTTTCTTGGTTTCAGTTCATTTCTTAAAGCTCCCATGTCATGCTTTTCCGGTTATCACCCGTCCCCTTGTGTTATGAAGGTTTTTCTGCATGTAAGCGGTCTGCAGAGTCACAAACCCTCAAAGTACACCCTGTAGGGAGTAAAACAAGGCTGTTTAGGACAGAGAGTGAATACACATACTATACAGAGATGCTGTATGAGAAACCAATGTGATGTTTGGAACATTGAACAATGTAAATCTATTCTGTAGACCTAACAATGGATTATGATCAGTGGAATGGCCATGACATGGGACCTTTAAACAATGCAAACCGTGAAACGTGTGGTGCTTCATGTGCTGCAAGAGGCTCGAAATATCTGATGCATCCTGGATCCTGTATCCTAAGGCTAACAAAGTGTGTTTGTGTGTTCAGGTGTGTGTCACAGTGTTCTGTGTCAGAGATCATCTCCGTCAGAGAGGAAGAGGGAGGAGAACGGCTGCAAAGACGATGCAGCTGGAAGAAAATCAATGAGAGAGAAGGAAAGGACTGCAGGCAGGCCTTCACCGGTAAACACACATGTACACACACCTGGATACACATTTAACACACACACACACACAACACACACACACACACACACACACGTATCATCATCAGACCCACTTACACATGTAAACACCTCTGGAAAATACTTAGAAACACAATATGACTTGATTGCAATTCTTTAGTCCGATTTTCTTACATACTATAGTTGACATGGAAACATTAAAAAAAATGTAAATAAAATTGCGAGTAAATAATAAAGTATTGACTATTAAATAACTTACGTTTTCTCCAAAACTACAACAAGACACCCTCAAACAAAGTACTCTTTTAAGTGTCCGATTAAGTTATTTGATCCAAGTGTTTTCATGATGTTCCACAGTAGCTTATTTTGCAATTGCAGGTGTAACAAATGGTAAGCCTACACAGCCTTTTCCACATTAAAACACTTGCAAGCACGTCCGAGTCTGATTTTCTTACCTTCTACTGTTGCGTTGGAAATATGTACTAACTAGTTGAATAGCTAAAACAAAAACGATATTAATTGCAATTGAAACCCCTCATGAGGCACATGCATGTGTCATAAGTAGCAGCGACACACCGGTTAATAAAGTGAACACCTCTGGAACAACACTGAAAAAGTGATTAAATATCCAATATTGACTTTGTGTCTGTTGTGTTTCAGTGCGTGTACGTGGAGAGCGGTGTCAGCAGCATCGCTGTGGCAGGTGTGCTGAAGTGTCCTTCACGTGTCCGGAGGCAGCGCTTTGTTGTACAACGCTGGTGGGTCACCAGCAATCCGAGAGCAGACTGGCAGCGAGCTCTAAGTGCGTTCTATTGATAGTTATGTGTTCTTATTGTTTAAAGGGTCACCTATGTTGCAAAATCCATCTTTACTTCCATGTCTCCTCCTTCTAACATCAACATGTGCTCCCCTCTTTCTTCAGTGTCTCCTTTCTACATCAAACATGATGTCCCCCTCTTCTTTCATGTCCTCTTTCTACATCAACATGTTGTCCCCTCATGTCTCTTCTACATCAACATGTGTCCCCCTTCTCATGTCTCTTCTACATCAACATGTGTCCCCTCTTCTTCATGTCTCTTCTACATCAACATGTGTCCCCTCTTCTTCATGTCTCTTCTACATCAACATGTGTCCCCTCTTCTTCATGTCTCTTCTACATCAACATGTGTCCCCTCTTCTTCATGTCTCTTCTACATCAACATGTGTCCCCTCTTCTTCATGTCTCTTCTACATCAACATGTGTCCCCTCTTCTTCATGTCTCTTCTACATCAACATGTGTCCCCTCTTCTTCATCTCTTCTACATCAACATGTGTCCCCTCTTCTTCATGTCTCTTCTACATCAACATGTGTCCCTCTTCTTCATGTCTCTTCTACATCAACATGTGTCCCCTCTTCTTCATGTCTCTTCTACATCAACATGTGTCCCCTCTTCTCATGTCTCTTCTACATCAACATGTGTCCCCTCTTCATGTCTCTTCTACATCAACATGTGTCCCCTCTTCTTCATGTCTCTTCTACATCAACATGTGTCCCCTCTTCTTCATGTCTCTTCTACATCAACATGTGTCCCCTCTTCTCATGTCTCTTCTACATCAACATGTGTCCCCTCTTCTTCATGTCTCTTCTACATCAACATGTGTCCCCTCTCTTCTTCATGTCTCTTCTACATCAACATGTGTCCCCTCTTCTTCATGTCTCTTCTACATCAACATGTGTCCCCTCTTCTTCATGTCTCTCTCTTCGACATCAACATGTGTCCCCTCTTCTTCATGTCTCTTCTACATCAACATGTGTCCCCTCTTCTTCATGTCTCTTCTACATCAACATGTGTCCCCTCTTCTTCATGTCTTTCTACATCAACATGTGTCCCCTCTTCTTCATGTCTCTTCTACATCAACATGTGTCCCCTCTTCTTCATGTCTCTTCGACATCAACATGTGTCCCCTCTTCTTCATGTCTCTTCTACATCAACATGTGTCCCCTCTTCTTCATGTCTCTTCTACATCAACATGTGTCCCTCTTCTTCATGTCTCTTCTACATCAACATGTGTCCCCTCTTCTCATGTCTCTTTCTACATCAACATGTTCCCCTCTTCTTCATGTCTCTTCTACATCAACATGTGTCCCCTCTTCTTCATGTCTCTTCTACATCAACATGTGTCCCCTCTTCTTCATGTCTCTTCTACATCAACATGTGTCCCCTCTTCTTCATGTCTCTTCTACATCAACATGTGTCCCCTCTTCTTCATGTCTCTCTACATCAACATGTGTCCCCTCTTCTTCATGTCTCTTCTACATCAACATGTGTCCCCTCTTCTTCATGTCTCTTCTACATCAACATGTGTCCCCTCTTCTTCATGTCTCTTCTACATCAAACATGTGTCCCCTTCTTCATGTCTCCTCTACAGCAACATGTGTCCCCTCTTCTTCATGTCTCTTTCTACATCAACATGTGTCCCCCTCTTATTCATGTCTCTCTACATCAACATGTGTCCCCTCTTCTTCCATGTCTCTTCTACATCAACATGTGTCCCTCTTCTTCATGTCTCTTCTACATCAACATGTGTCCCCACTTCTTCATGTCTCCTCTACATCAACATGTGTCCCCTCTTCTTCATGTCTCTTCTCTCAACATGTGTCCCCTCTTCTTCATGTCTCTTTCTTCATCAACATGTGTCCCCTTCTTCATGTCTCTTCTTCATCAACATGTCCCCTCTTCTCATGTCTCTTCTACATCAACATGTGTCCCCTCTTCTTCATGTCTCTTCTACATCAACATGTGTCCCCTCTTCTTCTGTCTCTTCTACATCAACATGTGTCCCCTCTTCTTCATGTCTCTTCTCTAAAACATGTGTCCCCTCTTCTTTCATGTCTCTTCTACATCAACATGTGTCCCCACTTCTTCATGTCTCTCTACATCAACATGTGTCCCCTCTTCTTCATGTCTCTTCTACATCACATGTGTCCCCTCTTCTTCATGTCTTTCTACATCAACATGTGTCCCTCTTCTTCATGTCTCTTCTACATCAACATGTGTCCCCTCTTCCTCATGTCTCTTCTACATCAACATGTGTCCCCTTCTTCCTCAGTCTCTCTACATCAACATGTGTCCCTCTTCTCATGTCTCTTTCTACATCAACATGTGTCCCCTCTTCCATGTCTCTTTCATCAACATGTGTCCCCTCTTCTTCATGTCTCTTCTACATCACATGTGTCCCCTCTTCTTCATGTCTCTTCTACATCATGTGTCCCCTCTTCTTCATGTCTCTTCTACATCACATGTGTCCCCTCTTCTTCATGTCTCTTCTACATCAACATGTGTCCCCTCTCTTCATGTCTCTTCTACATCAACATGTGTCCCTTCTTCTCATGTCTCTTCTACATCACATCAACATGTGTCCCCTCTTCTTCATGTCTCTTCTACATCAACATGTGTCCCCTCTTCTTCATGTCTCTTCTTCATCAACATGTGTCCCCTCTTCTTCATGTCTCTTCTACATCAACATGTGTCCCCTTCTTTTCATGTCTCTTCTTCATCAACATGTGTCCCCTCTTCTTCATGTCTCTTCTACATCAACATGTGTCCCCTTCTTCATGTCTCTTCTACATCAACATGTGTCCCCTCTTCTTCATGTCTCTTCTCATCAACATGTGTCCCCTCTCTTCATGTCTCCTCTACATCAACATGTGTCCCCTCTTCTTCATGTCTCTTCTACATCAACATGTGTCCCCTCTTCTTCATGTCTCTTCTACATCAACATGTGTCCCCTCTTCTTCATGTCTCTCTACATCAACATGTGTCCCCTCTTCTTCATGTCTCTTTCATCAACATGTGTCCCCACTTCTTCATGTCTCCTCTACATCAACATGTGTCCCTCTTCTTCATGTCTCTTCTCTACATCAACATGTGTCCCCTCTTCTTCTTCATGTCCCCTCTACATCAACATGTGTCCCTTCTTCTTCATGTCTCCTCTACATCAACATGTTCCCCGCTTCTTCATGTGTCTTCTACATCAACATGTGTCCCCTCTTCTTCATGTCTCTTCTACATCAACATGTTCTCCTCTTCTTCATGTCTCTTCTACATCAACATGTGTCCCCTCTTCTTCATGTCTCTTCTACATCACATGTGTCCCCTCTTCTCATGTCTCTTCTACATCAACATGTGTCCCCACTTCTTCATGTCTCTCTAACAACAATGTGTCCCCTCTCTTCCTCTTCGTTCATGTATTTTCTACATCAACATGTGTCTCCTCTTCTTCATGTCTCTCTACATCAACATGTGTCCCCTCTTCTTCATGTCTCTTCTACATCAACATGTGTCCCCTCTTCATGTCTCTTCTTCTACATCAACATGTGTCCCCACTTCTTCATGTCTCCTCTACATCAACATGTGTCCCCTCTTCTTCATGTCTCTTCTTCTGTGTCTCTTCTTCATCTCTTCTTCATCAACATGTGTCCCCTCTTCTTCTCTGTCTCTTCTTCATCAACATGTGTCCCCTCTTCTTCATGTCTCTTCTACATCAACATGTGTCCCCTCTTCTTCATGTCTCTTCTACATCAACATGTGTCCCCTCTTCTTCATGTCTCTTCTACATCAACATGTGTCCCCTCTTCCTCATGTCTCTTTCTACATCAACATGTTTCCCCTCTGTGGAAAGAGACTCTGAAAGTTTCAGGAACAAAGATTCTCTCTCTTTTTGATCCAGTTTCTATAAAAACTCGTCTGAAAATGAGCTGATCAGATTTTGCCCACTTTATGATGTCATAACGATGTTTTGTCTTGTGTAACCATTAGCCAATCAGCTACCAATGTAACCCCCCCCCCCCCCCCCCCCCCTCTTATCACCTGAATCTCCTCCTAGAGCACCATTGAGTTATTTGTAACCAAATGTCTCTCAGAGGGGCGTGGGGAGGGGCTCCTTATTTTCATCTAAAGTAACAGACAGAGAATCATCACTTTGGAAACAGAGCTGAAACAGAGGGGATTATGGGTAATGCCGCAATGATCTGTTTGGTGTTTCAGCCAATCAGAGACAGGCTCTGGATATATCTGAGACCTGTGATATATTGATGAAAAACAGTATAATAGGGGACCTTTAAGATAAGATGGAACTTTATTTATCCCCTTGGGAAAAGCAGCAACACAAGGTCAAAATGAAGATAAAATAGAATACAAATTAAAATAATAATACAGCAAAAATAAAGTAACTATTGAGAGAAGATATCACAGTAAATAGTTGAGCAATTGTATGAACATGTTAAATATATGTACAGCCTCTAGCTCTCGCTATTGTTGCCAAACACTTCCTGTAACTCTGTGTTGATGAATTTCATCTGTTGCCATGCGGGCGTAGATATGCTCGACCTGCTCTTAAGACAAATCGCTTTTCAAAATCATTCAAGTTCTTGATAGGTTTTTTAACTTGATTATTTATTGACTTATTTATTGTGATGCTATGAACTATTTATCGTGTAAATTGGAATGCTCTGTGTGCTTTCTTCTTCCTGCCTGTGTACATGACATCAACTGCTCATAACCAATTGCCCCTTGCGGGATTAATAACGTTATTGATTGATTGATTGTTGTTGCAGCCAGCAGACCCAAACAGCTGCTGGTCTACATCAACCCGTACAGCGGGAAGCAACACGGGAAAAAATATCTACGAGCAGAAGGTCGCCCCGCTGTTCGCCCTGGCCGGCGTCACCCACGCACGTTATCGGTACGCATCATCCTGTCTTTGAGCTTCCTGTGTTAGTGATCAAGTATCTAACTCACTTCCTGTCTCTGAGCTTCCTGTGTTAGTGATCAAGTATCTAACTCACTTCCTGTCTCTGAGCTTCCTGTGTTAGTGATCAAGTATCTAACTCACTTCTGTCTCTGAGCTTCCTGTGTTAGTGATCAAGTATCTAACTCACTTTCCTGTCTTTGAGCTTCCTGTGTTAGTGATCAAGATCTAACTCACTTCCTGTCTCTGAGCTTCCTGTGTTAGTGATCAAGTATCTATACTCACTTCCTGTCTCTGAGCTTCCTGTGTTAGTGATCAAGTATCTAACCTCACTTCCTGTCTCTGAGCTTCCTGTGTTAGTGATCAAGTATCTAACTCACTTCCTGTCTTTGAGCTTCTGTGTTAGTGATCAAGTATCTAACTCACTTCCTGTCTTTGAGCTTCCTGTGTTAGTGATTCAAGTATCAAACTCACTCTTCCTGTCTTTGAGCTTCCTGTGTTAGTGATCAAGCATCTAACTAACTTCCTGTCTCTGAGCTTCCTGTGTTAGTGATCAAGTATCTAACTCACTTCCTGTCTTTGAGCTTCTGTGTTAGTGACAAAGTATCTAACTCACTTCCTGTTCTTTGAGGCTTCCTGTGTTAGTGATCAAGTATCAACTCACTTCCTGTCTTTGAGCTTCCTGTGTTAGTGATCAAGCATCTAACTCACTTCCTGTCTCTGAGCTTCCTGTGTTAGTGATCAAGTATCTAACTCACTTCCTGTCTCTGAGCTTCCTGTGTTAGTGATCAAGTATCTAACTCACTTCCTGTCTTTGAGCTTCCTGTGTTAGTGATCAAGTATCTAACTCACTTCCTGTCTCTGAGCTTCCTGTGTTAGTGATCAAGTATCTAACTCACTTCCTGTCTCTGAGCTTCCTGTGTTAGTGATCAAGTATCTAACTCACTTCCTGTCTCTTGAGCTTCCTGTGTTAGTGATCAAGTATCTAACTCACTTCCTGTCTCTGAGCTTCCTGTGTTAGTGATCAAGTATCTAACTCACTTCCTGTCTCTGAGCTTCCTGTGTTAGTGATCAAGTATCTAACTCACTTCCTGTCTCTGAGGCTTCCTGTGTTAGTGATCAAGTATCTAACTCACTTCCTGTCTCTGAGCTCCTGTGTTAGTGATCAAGTATCTAACTCACTTCCTGTCTCTGAGCTTCCTGTGTTAGTGATCAAGTATCTAACTCACTTCCTGTCTCTGAGCTTCCTGTGTTAGTGATCAAGTATCTAACTCACTTCCTGTCTCTGAGCTTCCTGTGTTAGTGATCAAGTATCTAACTCACTTCCTGTCTGTGTGTGTTGTCACAGTGACGGAGCACGCCAAATTATGCAAGAGACCACCTGAGGACGGAGGCGGAGCTGAAGAAGTTTGATGGTGAGAGTTCAGATCCTTCACAAAGCAGAGCATGAAATACCGACAAAATAAAGCATTTTGGAGAAATTCATCCTAGCGTTTTCATCCAGAAAATCTCCCAAGTCATTTTATTTCCTGTTTCTTTTACAAAAACATCGTGACGACAATAGCCGCTCCTTTGCTCTTTTATTCGTGCTATTTTCTACTTGTTTGTCGTTGTTTTTTTCACCACCAACACATGGAGGATGCTTGCCCTCATACTTTGTCTAGATTGGTTCCCCGGCTCAATTTGACTGCGGTAGAAGATCTGCATATGGCGATAAGAGTACAACACGACCAGCAGCAAAATTCAGTCTACGCCCGGCCGATATGCTGCCTCAAATTAATTTGTTTAGTCTTTGTTATGATATTGTTTGTCTGGCAATAGAGCACATGTTAATGGGGACAAAAAACAAGCTTTTCCTCCTTTCTCTACAATGAAGTCACAAGCACTTATCTAAAAAAGTATAGACATTTTTAACTGGAGGCACTTAGATGAAAACATATTCAAACTTATAAGTAGTGTTCATTTTAAGTGATTTCAGTTTAAACCTGACGTCTCTTTAGTTAAGAGGGCATGGTTTACATTTTGTTCCATATTTATTCTCATTATCTTTCTACCTAAGATCTTCCAGCATCAGGTGTTTTGTGGAAAAAAGTTCAACTAAATCTTAAGTAAATCATGTTCAAATGTAACACCAATGTATGATCTACCTTGTTATTAACCTTTGGAAACAATATAAATAAGATCCTATGTGAACACGGGCCCTAAGAGTTTAGTTCCTTTATAAAATATGGCACAGACACCGCCGAAATGAAAGCACCACAGAAATCAAATCCGCCTGCTGCTGTCTTCTTTATACTGCCAACTTTCTACACTTTGAGTGACAGTAAAACTACTGATTAGGCATAGAAATGTAAAAAGATTAAATTATATAACATCTCCTTTTTTATATAGCTCGAGTTAAGTATATTTGTTAAACAAAATACAGTCTCAAAACCTTTTAACATGCAACAAACGCTTTTTAGCCAAAGTGACTGTTTTTCTGTGGTTTTTATTATTATTTTTAAATTGTAAGAAGTAGTGGAGTACAAATACTTAGTTACTGTGCTTAAGTACATGTTTCTTGTATCAGTACTTTTCTCCACTACTTATTTTTCTGACGACTTTTTACTTTGACTTCTCACATGTTGAACTCAAATACCTGTACTTTCTACTTCTTACATGTTGAACTCAAATACCTGTACTTTCTACTCATCTACATGTTGAACACTAATACCTGTACTTTCTACTTTCTACTTCTTACATGTTGAACACAATACCTGTACTTTCTACTTCTTACATGTTTGAACACTAATACTGTACTTTCTACTTCTTACATGTGAACTCAAATACCTGTACTTCTACTTCTCACATGTTGAACACAAATACCTGTACTTTCTACTTCTCACATGTTGAACTCAAATACCTGTACTTTCTACTTCTTACATGTTGAACTCAAATACCTGTACTTTCTTACTTCTTACCATGTTGAACACAAATACCTGTACTTTCTACTTCTTACATGTTGAACTCAAATAACCTGTACTTTCTACTTCTGACATGTTGAACTCAAATACCTGTACTTTCTACTTCTTACATGTTGAACTAAATACCTGTACTTTCTACTTCTTACATTGTTGAACACAAATACCTGTACCTGTCTACTTCTCACATGTTGAACACAAATACCTGTACTTTCTACTTCTCACATGTTGACTCAAATACCTGTACTTTCTACTTCTTACATGTTTGAACACAAATACCTGTACTTTTACTTATCTACATGTTGAACACAAATAGCTGTACTTTTCTACTTCTCACATGTTGAACTCAAATACCTGTACTTTCTACTTCTTACATGTTGAACTCAAATACCTGTACTTTCTACTTCTTACATGTGAACTCAAATACCTGTACTTTCTACTTCTTACATGTTGAACTCAAATACCTGTACTTTCTACTTCTTACATGTTGAACTCAAATACCTGTACTTTCTACTTCTTACATGTTGAACTCAAATACCTGTACTTTCTACTTCTTACATGTTGAACACAAATACCTGTACTGTCTACTTCTCACATGTTGAACACAAATACCTGTACTTTCTACTTCTCACATGTTGAACTCAAATACCTGTACTTTCTACTTCTTACATGTTGAACACAAATACCTGTACTTTTTACTTTCTACTTCTTACATGTTGAACACAAATAGCTGTACTTTCTACTTCTCACATGTTGAACTCAAATACCTGTACTTTCTACTTCTTACATGTTGAACTCAAATACCTGTACTTTCTACTTCTTACATGTTGAACTCAAATACCTGTACTTTCTACTTCTTACATGTTGAACACACAAATACCTGTACTTTCTACTTCTCACATGTTGAACTCAAATACCTGTACTTTCTACTTCTTACATGTTGAACTCAAATACCTGTACTTTCTACTTCTGACATGTTGAACTCAAATACCTGTACTTTCTACTTCTTACATGTTGAACTCAAATACCTGTACTTTCTACTTCTTACATGTTGAACTCAAATACCTGTACTTTCTACTTCTTACATTTTGAACCCAAATACCTGTACTTTCTACTTCTGACATGTTGAACTCAAATACCTGTACTTTCTACTTCTCACATGTTGAACACAAATACCTGTACTTTCTACTTCTCACATGTTGAACTCAAATACCTGTACTTTCTACTTCTTACATGTTGAACTCAAATACCTGTACTTTCTACTTCTTACATGTTGAACTAAATACCTGTACTTTCTACTTCTTACATGTTGAACTAAAATACCTGTACTTTCTACTTCTTACATGTTGAACTCAAATACCTGTACTTTCTACTTCTTACATGTTGAACACAAATACCTGTACTTTCTACTTCTTACATGTTGAACTCAAATACCTGTACTTTCTACTTCTTACATGTTGAACTCAAATACCTGTACTTTCTACTTCTCACATGTTGAACTCAAATACCTGTACTTTCTACTTCTTACATGTTGAACTCAAAATACCTGTACTTTCTACTTCTGACATGTGAACTCAAATACCTGTACTTTCTACTTCTTACATGTTGAACACAATACCTGTACTTTCTACTTCTTACATGTTGAACTCAATACCTGTACTTTCTACTTCTTCACATGTTGAACACAAATACCTGTACTTTCTACTTCTTACATGTTGAACACAAATACCTGTACTTTCTACCTTCTCACATGTTGAACACAAATACCTGTACTTTCTACTTCTTACATGTTGAACTCAAATACCTGTACTTTTCTACTTCTTACATGTTGAACTCAAATACCTGTACTTTCTACTTCTTACATGTTGAACTCAAATACCTGTACTTTCTACTTCTCACAGTTTCCAAACAGCTGGTTCCTTTAGTCTGAATGTGTGTTTGGTGCGTGATCATTATTCTTTAGAGTCATTGCGTGCCTATTGATTTGAACACGATCCGTGTATCCATCATTTCCTGGTCTCTCTAAAGAAGAGGGACCAATGGAAACGTTGTCATGTTGCCGTTGTTCAGCATGGAAACATTCATTAGCTAACAATGACATTATTGTTCTATTAATATAAAGGGAGGTCAGGTACTCTTTAAAGCAGCTGCTAGTTATGGGTACTTTTTTACTGAAGTACATTTCAAAGTTCTTTACTTTTACTTGAGTAAAGAAGTTTAGTCAGTACTTCTATTTTTACCATAGTATTTTAAACACGAGTATCTGTACTTCTACTCGAGTAAAGGATGTATGTACTTTTGCCGTCTCTGTTGTTTTAACATCTCCCTTGGACCCTCGGCTCAGGGTGGTGTGTGTCGGGGGGGACGGCATGTTCAGCGAGATCAACCACGGGCTGATCTGGAGGTCGCAGATCGACGGCGGCGTGGATCCAAACTGTGCCGACGAATCCCTGCTCCCCAGCTCGCTGCGCATCGGCATCATTCCTGCAGGTCAGAAACACTGATTATCAAAAACACTGCTTTATTACGTTGTTTTACCTTTTAGTTGATTTAAAATGCAAGGTTGAAAAGCTGCTTGGAAAAGCTCAATGAGCCCTTGAAACGGTTCCTAGGTTGATTTAATGTAGTCGGCAGTTTACAATTCTGATTGTTCCGGGTTCACTTTTGGTTCATTGTAAGCAGGGTTTCTGCATTTCTTTAGTTTAAATTGTCCTTACTGTTGCATGAGACTCGTCTTTTCCCCACTCTAAGTCTGACTTCTCATGCTGCCAACTTAACAAAGTGTAAAGCTGTTAGAAACCACAAAAACAAGACAAATCAAACACATAGATGCCAATTAATAGAAAACAAAAACATTTTCAGAGCCTATTTAAGTGCTTTTCTAGGTGACAGTATAAAGAGACTGTATATTAGGGGCCGAAACAGTGAGGAAATTATTCTAAAATAATTATAATTGCCTGTTATCTCAAGAATTACAGACTCTGATCAATTAAATCTCTTTACCTCATTCATTATAGGGAGGAATAGAATAGTTTAATGTCATTATACATGTACAATGACATAAATGCTTCTCCCTTTCAAGGATGCCATCAAAACAAAAACATCACAACATAAGACAACAAAATACACGCATACATACTTAGTAATAAGGGATAAAGGAATAAAGAGTAAAGTGCAGTAATTATTTCCAGGAGTATACAAATAAAATCTGTAATGTAATAAATAATAATAATAGTGTGTAATAATAATAGTAATGATATATATGTATATGTACAGAGTCACATTGATTATGGTTCTCTGCAGAACTTAAAGCCTCACATTGTTTTTTCTCGGCTTGTCTCTACAATGTCTACATGATGTATAACTGACAGACAAAACGCGCGTTTCCACTGCAGCGGGTAGCTCGCTTTAAGCGTGCCGAGCCTACAACAAGATGAACATATTTGACCGTGATTTAATTGTAATACACGTTTCAAAATGATGCCGAAGTAACAACATACTGATACCGGTTAGTAAAAACCATGAATTAATGCTTTGACAAGTCTGCAGACAGACGGCAGGCGAAAAACCCTTTTAAAATACGTGTTTTCTAAATGTAGCTTGGCTAAGCTAACGTTATATATGCTCCGACCGTCCACACTCACAACAACGGCCTATACAGACATAATAAACCAGCGACTGTATTCGCCATGACACAGGCAGTCTGTGGTTTGTACTTGTTTAACTTTTGTCTAGTTTCTGAACAGATATGAGGAGCTGTGAGCTCTGAGGGCTAAGAGCTAACGGCTGTGTTGTTTTTCTGGGGCTCTCATTGAAGATGACGTTAGGGCTCCGCCTACACTGCGTTACTATAGTAACTACCCCAGTTCCTAACCTGTAATGGAAGCGCAGCATTAGAGGCTACGATTCAGAATGCTGGATGAACTTTGACATTTGAGACAGCGATCAGCCAATCAAAAGAGCAGGATTCTCTGTTGCTGGGTAAAAAAAAAAAAGTTTCCAGGTTGTTGTTTTTTTTAAATGTGCAATTTAACAAAAACGTTGTCTTTAAATATAGGCTACTTTCTCACTTGAACATTGTACCATATGTGTGTGTGTTTCAGGTTCGACAGACTGCATCTGCTTCGCCACTGTGGGCAGCAATGACCCTGTGACCTCTGCGCTGCACATCATCGTGGGTCAGTCACTACACATCAACTAAAACATAAAGTCATTTCAGGTCGTTTCAAGGTTTTATACAGGACTAAAGACTGATGAGGGTCAAAGGCCCAAAGGCTCCTCCTATAGGGGAAAATAAAATGAGCCATAATGGATAATATCACACAAATAAAGACACTTTTTGGTTGCTTTGTGGCTTACATTGCACATTCGCATGCTTTAGATTCATAAATGTCTCTTAAATATTGTCAGTCAACATGCAAAACTCAAATTTAAGAGCTTCAATGATGAGTCAATTAAAAGAAAATCAGCTCGTTTGATTATCTAAAAATAGTTTACGTAACCTTTAATCGAAAATACCAACATCTGCTGGTTTCCTTTTGTCCTTTTTTAGAATAACTTGTTTTTTAAGGCCTTGAATAAATTATAAACTTAATTTCATTGGGTTTTAGTACGTCATCTTAGACGATGGGGACATTGGGTTAATTAAATAATCTCATAAACAAAAGTGACAAAAAGAGAGAGAATCTTTGTTCCTGAAACTTTCAGAGTCTCTTTCCACAGAGGGGGACACATGTTGATGTAAGAGACATGAGAAGAGGGGACACATGGGGGACACATGTTGATGTAGAAGAGACATGAAGAAGAGGGGACACATGTTGATGTAGAAGAGACATGAAGAAGAGGGGACACATGTTGATGTAGAAGAGACATGAAGAAGAGGGGACACATGTTGATGTAGAAGAGACATGGAGAAGAGGGGACACATGTTGATGTAAAAGAGACATGAAGAAGAGGGGGACACATGTTGATGTAGAAGAGACATGAAGAAGAGAGGGACACATGTTGATGTAGAGAGACATGAAGAAGAGGGGACACATGTTGATGTAGAAGAGACATGAAGAAGAGGGGACACATGTTGATGTAGAAGAGACATGGAGAAGAGGGGACACATGTTGATGTAGAAGAGACAATGGAGAAGAGGGGGACACATGTTGATGTAGAAGAGACATGAGAAGAGGGGACACATGGTTGATCGTAGAAGAGACATGGAGAAGAGGGGACACATGTTGATGTAGAAGAGACATGGAGAAGAGGGACACATGTTGATGTAGAAAGAGACATGAAGAAGAGGGGACACATGTTGATGTAGAAGAGACATGGAGAAGAGGGGACACCTGTTGATGTAGAAGAGACATGGAGCAAGAGGGGGGACACATGTTGATGTTAGAAGAGACATTGAGAAGAGGGGACACATGTTGTGTAGAAGAGACATGAAGAAGATGGGGACACATGTTGATGTAGACGAGACATGAAGAAGAGGGGGACACCTGTTGATGTAGAAGAGACATGAAGAAGAGGGGACACATGTTGAGTAGAAGAGACAATGAAGAAGAGGGACACATGTTGAGAAGACGGAGAGGGACACATGTTGATGTAGAAGAGACATGGAGAAGAGGGGACCACATGTTGATGTAGAAGAGACATGAAGAAGAGGGGAGACATGAAGAAGAGGGGACACATGTTGATGTAGAAGAGACATGAAGAAGAGGGGACACATGTTGATGTAGAAGAGACATGAAGAAGAGGGGACACGTGTTGATGTAGAAGAGACATGAAGAAGAGTGGACACGTGTTGATGTAGAAGAGACATGAAGAAGAGGGGACACATGTTGATGTAGAAGAGACATGGAGAAGAGGGGACACATGTTGATGTAGAAGAGACATGGAGAAGAGGGGACAACATGTTGATGTAGAAGAGACATGAAGAAGAGGGGACACATGTTGATGTAGAAGAGACATGAAGAAGAGGGGACACATGTTGATGTAGAAGAGACATGGAGAAGAGGGGACACATGTTGATGTAGAAGAGACATGAAGAAGAGGGGACACATGTTGATGAAGAAGAGGGGACACATGTTGATGTAGAAGAGACATGAAGAAGATGGGACACATGTTGATGTAGAGGAGACATGAAGAAGAGAGGACACATGTTGATGTAGAAGAACATGAAGAAGAGGGGACACATGTTGATGTAGAAGAGACATGGAGAAGAGGGGACACATGTTGATGTAGAAGAGACATGAAGAAGAGGGGACACATGTTGATGTAGAAGAGACATGAAGAAGAGGGGACACATGTTGATGTAGAAGAGACATGAAGAAGAGGGGACACATGTTGATGTAGAAGAGACATGAAGAAGAGGGGACACATGTTGATGTAGAAGAGACATGAAGAAGAGGGGAACACATGTTGATGTAGAAGAGACATGGAGAAGAGGGGACACATGTTGATGTAGAAGAGACATGAAGAAGAGGGGACACATGTTGATGTAGAAGAGACATGAAGAAGAGGGGGACACATGTTGATGTAGAAGAGACATGAAGAAG